CAATAATCACGACTAGTTTTATTATGGATCTATTAAAAACAGAAACATAAATGTTAATTCGAAATATAAATAAAACGTTATGCTAAAAGTGGTGTTGGCATTTTTGGTACAGTTATTATTTGTAATAACAACAACAACTTAACAACACAATATAAAATGTTAAATCCATATCTACGGCGTATAGATTTCAGGTTTTATGTTATGGCGATGCTTTGTGTGAATAAACCGCGGCGCGTTCCAGCCTGCTCCCGTGTTCACAACAAAGTGGCGACGTGCCAATCCACGCTCCTACGGCAGTTATCTAGCACTTCGCTTGTGTTACCGGCTAATGGACTATAAAGTTTGTCATCAGACCGCTACCGACTGTTCGGGTTTGTTTCCCATCTGTAAATTTGAGTAATAACGTAATACGACCCACAGGTATACAGATATAAATTATATTAGCAATTGTTTTCTCATATTAATTTAACTTTTATACAGTTAACTATCTAACTAACTTTGGCAATTAAACTGACAGTTTATCTGATAGAAAGTGCTAACCATCGCCTTTAAACATGAATAGAATACCATGAATATCACAAAATATATAGTGAAACCCATGGTCTGTCGTGCTTTGTCATTCTTGAGAACTAAGTTGTCTACGTACCACTAGTGATTTCGTAACAATGGTATATTTATTAGGTTTTTAAATTTTTATTAAAATGAACATGGCAAGTTAGTTTTGTTCTTGTGTAAACAGAAAAAAAAAAATGATTATATATATATATATATATATATATATATATATATATATATAGTATCATACATAGTCTTCGAGAATAACAAAGCACTATTATCATTTCTCGCTTTCTATTGGGTGGACAGTTGTCAGCTTGTTTGTTTTATAAAAAGGCAAATACAGAAACGACTGCATAGTTAGATTGTAATGTTGACCTTAGTGGTTGACATTTTAATAGCTTCTATAATATATTCCCGTTGACGGGATATGGAATGAAGGTGCGAGTTTTAATTAAAATAAAAAATATAGCAATAAATCAGAGGAAATAGCAATTATTTTATCGCAAAGATAGTCTATAGTAGATTTATTATTTGTTATTTTTTAATGAACGATGATAGATTTGTTGTTAGTTTGTCTCCAAAATATATTCAACGTTTTCAACGTGCAATAACAAACGCACAAAAAATAACATATTATTTGAAGGATATTTTATAAATTATACTTGTATATTTTTAATTAATCAATAAAACAATTTGAAATACCTTAATAAATTATTATACAAACACAAACTAAATATATAAACACAATGCAATTGTGACTTTGTAAACATTGACAGTGATTTTTATAATTTATAGTTTTACGTCAATCCATTGATTCTGTTATGTATATCATCATTTAATGTCATTCGAAAATTCACTAAAAATACAAAAATACATTGTGCACGCTCAATATATTTTCGTGGCTTTATGCCAAGTAAAAAGTATGTGTTTAAAAAAAGATCATGTTCTTACAACTTGTGCATATTATTATGGAAATTATACTTTGTACAGCCATTACAACCTTCTTATGCCAGTCCTCATGTTTTGTTTCAAACTAAGTAATTTGTATAATATAATTTATTACTGTCATTTAAACAAATTGAGATATATTTTTTTATATATTTTTTTTTTATTATGGATTGCATTGAAATGATCGGTAAAGATGCTGATTAATCCTGATTAATTTGCAAAATTAATACTGTTTTAGTGGTACTGCATCATCATTTACCTATATACCTATTGCGGTACACTAGATTTTTATCGTATACATAGATAAACTCATTACTGATAGCGCTAAAAGATCTTTGAGTATCCGCTACGGGTACACGGTCCACGCGCCACCGGTTGAGCGATGGCTCCGTAAAGTTTATAGGGAATTGATTGATGAAAGTGACTTTGACTGTTCTTACTTCTTCGTGATGAAATATTGGGTAAACCAATATTTATAATAGTTGATGACAGATTGGCTGAAGTTGTGCTAATGGTTTAGAGTGGAAACGTTATTTTCTAAAGCCTTAACATATTTTTAATATTGTGTCTCGGATTGTTCGATCTTGAATAATTTTTGATTTAGTGGACTGGATGATTTTATAGCTCTTTTGTTGCGAATTATGTAAGTGTAATAACATTAAGCTTTACTACCACTAATTAGAAGTTTCAAACATTTAATGACACGACGTGCGTGTAATTCACGGCTCAGTGTAGTCTGTGGCCTCGTGCCAACCGCGGGAGATCGCGGATCTCCCTGCGGATTGTGATTATGTATATGTTACAGGGAAGTAAGAATACTAGAGATTGCATGAAGTACCTAGAGATTTCACGAATCACTGAACATGTCGAATATTCTAATATATAAATAATCTTTTTAATTTTGTAACTTCAAACTTTTTATGTTAACGTTTAATACTTACTTTTCGTAAGTCTATGTTTGGTTGATTGAAATATGTATCTAAGAAAATGTGTTATTTGTAATTTTGTTTTATTCTGAAAACAATATGTAACTATAAATTTTGCTAGACTTAATGAATTAACATGTTACTGAACATAATTTAATGTTAATGTTTTGTTATATCATTAAGTTTTTTACAATAAAATATTGTGATAATTTCAAATTTGTTCAACATTTTGCATGACATCGTGATATCCGTATTTCATAAAGTCCCTATTATTATCATTTCCCTGCGACATATACGCGTACCAGTTCTTTGTCGCCAAGCCGTCTAAAGGCGAGCGTCTCGCTCTAATAAGGTATATCCTTCCAAGAAAACAATATGTAAAACGCGACAATCGATTAGCATTCCGGTTTTATTGAACTGGTCTTACTATGCAAAATCCAGTTTGTTAAATTGTAGCTCTGTATCAAGTTCTATAATGTAGCTAAGTTAACTAAAAATTATCTCTAAACTAATATTATAAAGAATAAAGATTAGATTTTTTGTTTTCTAATGAATAGACTCAAATAATACTTAACTGATTTTAAAAGTTCATTCACCTATAGAAAGCTACATTATCAGCGAGTAAATAAGCTGTATGTAAAATATATATATAGCTTATTTACTCGCTGATAATTACTACTTTAAAAAAAACTGCGCCAATCCGTTTTGGAGTCGCTTCTAGATATAGACAATAGTAATTACCTAAATAGCATTACTCAGTGGATACAATAGGTATTTCGAATATTACATATGCTTTGATTAATCTCTGCTAGATAATCCTATAGAAATATTGATGGTTAATAAATAATAGTTCTGTTAGGTGCTTGATATTATATCCGTCTGGGGATATAAGATTATTAGGGTTTGTCTGTATCATTTGTTAAAAGATTCTATTGTTAACGTTATTGTTATATTATACGCTAACGCTGTGCGTAGCAATTAACGGTGTACAATTTTAAAACAATTATAAGTCTTCTTATAGTGAATGTAATATGAATTGTATTACTGTAGCTGTGCTTAAAAAAGTAAATATGAAACAATAATTAAAATTTTGGAATTGGATGTTTTTAAAGATTAGGAATTTGTTCAACTTGAAGCATGAAATGGCATGACGTCTTTGTTCTCAATGCCTGAGAGATACCAACAGTTACTGTGTATTTTCTTTAATGGCTATAGTGCTGTCCGTGTCTATAGGCGACGATGATCACTTTCCATCAGTTGAGTCGTCACCATATTTGCAATTTTCAATTATATAAAATAATTTAATATAGATGCGAAATTTGTTCTCTATGATCAACATTTTAGGGCAATAGAAAGCCATTTTTACGATATTCGTTACGCAATATTGAAAATTGTTCACTGGTTTTTGAAAATAACAAATAATTCTGACGTTGCCACGTTTCGGTAATCTTCCGTATGAACATTCCTAAAGAGATGGGATTTATTAGAAACAGACGGATTAAGGAATAGTATTGATACTCGAGCATGGTGGAGAGAAGCTATCTACGAGTTTACGGTTCGATTGACTAACCGCTCTTGTCTTCTACATAGATACATTGTGTTCTCCTTGTCGTCTCTTAGGGTATTTATTTCTTCGCAATATTAAAACATCTACTTTATTCAACTGCTTTTCACTGAATTATTTCGTTTATGTACTTACCTTTAATATTTATTTTCTTTTAAAAATACAGTAGCTCTGTCTAATGGACTTGTATATTAAATATTGATACAAATTATCGAAATGAAAAGATCTCATAAATAATTTTGATTTGTCACTTTCCTGTCGTCACAACTTGTAGTTTACACAAACAATAATTATCTTCCTTTCACTCACAAATAACAATTTGACAGACAGATGTAAACATCAAATATGATTAATGTAAAGCGTCAATAAAATAAAGGTCACATTAATTTTACATTGGAATTAATTGTTTCTAAAGTCTCGTTAATAAAATTTCAAGGAATTTTTGTGATAATAACTCAAATTTTATTATTTAAATACATAATACATTTTGCGTGCGCGTGTGGGCAGAGGTTTCGATGCACTGCGCCATTTATTTTTATTGATACCGTAATTTTACCAATAAATTTCCTATAGAACACTTCAAACGTCGTGCGTACTTACATATAATATGAACTTAACCTTTAATTATAATCACGCATTGTATTCTAAAATAAATTGTGTGATAAGCGAGCCAGTATCTGCAAAAAGCAGCCAGCTTTCTAGCATACTGATACCTAAATATAAAAGTGAAATATAAATTTTAAATAAATAAAATAAACTATTGTGGTGAATATGCCCACAATTCCCCAAGCATATTATAATTCAATGTGGCAGGGGATAAGCCTACCGCCGTCACTCGGATTAATTTGGTTTGTTATTAGTACATTCACACAGTTTTTGGTATTCGTCAGATTCGAACTATCTAGTATTCTATATGTAGAATTCTCGAGATATCACGATATTTAGGATATTTAAATAGAATAATGTGAATTTTAGTAATAAATTAAAACTTGTTTTTTGAACAGATGTGGCCTCCACGCTGATTTCACAGAGCTGACAGCGTGCGTGGGCGGCGAGCTTGACCGGAATGAAGGCTCGGCCGTCCACAGGAGATACTTCTACATCACTCTCCTCAGGGAGCCGGTGGCAAGGTAATTATTGATGTATAATATCCTATTAATATAACAAAAGGTAGTAACGATGGATGGTATGGATTGATCTCTGTCTTGCAAAAAATACTAAACGGATTGGAATGAAATTTGGTATACGGGTAGGTTATATCCTAACTTAGCACATATTATACTTTATGTATTGATTTACACGGATGGACACGCGAGATGTAGCTATTATATGAATATCCCACGTGTTTCATCCTCACCTATCATCGTTCACTGGTGCCCCGCCGATGTATACCAATAGCGCGGGTGGGGCTCCTATTCCATTATTATCCATTAAAAAAAAACTTCCACGTGTTTTGAAACATATGGATTGAAAATAAAATGGTTTTGGATTTATTAAAATTAATTTCAATAATTTCAATACAAAAAAAAAGAGCGAATTACTTTTTATACTAAGAAATACTAAAAGAACATTGTTGACAAAATATTTAACAATTTTATGTTTATGACTACAGTATTGATTTACTATACATTATATTGACACGTATTAAAAAGGATGAAGTTGCAGATAAAAACCAGTACTATATGCTTAGAACATTTTTTCAACTATATTTAAGTCTAATCCAATTTTTTCATTCCAAGGTACTTGTCGGAGTACCGGCACGTGAAACGCGGCGCTACGTGGAAAGGCTCCCGGCACTGGTGTCAGGGACGCACCGCCACAGGTAATCATATACATTACAAGTCTGTTTAAAACATTTTTAACCGACTTCAAAAAGAAGGAGGTTTTCAATTAAGTTATATTTTCTTGTTTGTCATAACTCCGACAGTTCTAAACCGATTTGCGATTTTTTTTTTATCTGAAAGTACATATAGAAATAATGATGATTATTTCTTGTTGAATTTTTACAATGGGCCAACTGATTTGCTTCATCCTCACCTGTTATCCCTCACTGATGCCCCGCCAGCGTATTTCGATAGCGCAAGCAGAGATACCATTTCATTTTCAACTAATAAAAAAATATCAGCACAAACCTGAACTAAACTACTTTTTTAATAGAAAGGATTTATGAGTGTTGTTTCCATAATACGAGCAATTTTGTTGAATTTGTAGATCGATTTGATCCTTTTTTTTTATGAAAACTAATTTATTTTTTTAAATAAAATTAGTTTGATTTGTTCTCCAACTATTTACTTTAGTTATTTTAGATATGGTAATCGTTCGTATTGATTACTTTGTTTATATTGCGTCAGGTCGTATGTTAGTAACACAAAATGTATTTTTTGTATCTAATCTTCTTTTTTGAAGTTAATTAAAATTAGTGACTTCAGATATTTTGATCGATATTTATTATTACGTGCCCATCGGAGTTTCTATGTAGTTATATAAATAAATTAATGACTAACATTTGTAACGTGACTTTTAAATTTTCTTCGATCGACTCACTTAGCCTAATATTGTTGGCGTACATAGACCACTTTTGTGGTTTCAAAAAAAAACTAACAATATTGAAATATAATAGACATAAACCACCTCCTATTAACGATAGAATTAAAATAAAAAAAAAAAACACCAAATTAATTTGCAGTTATTTGACAGCGGCTGTATTTGTTTCATATTTCATAACCATATTTGGTTCTTCTCTTGTAAGATGATTGAAACTGGGATCAATGTGTACTGTACACCTTTTGGCCTATTATATAGGACATAGATTAGCGTAACAAAAGCAAAATAAAATCACAGCGACTTAATTACCGAAACTATTTTCTTATTTTTATATTGTCAACTAATGCCATTCAAGCATCAGTTGAATAGTCGTTTTATGGAGACATTATCGAAATTAAAATCGTATTCAGTAGTGATTCTATTAAATTTGAGTTCTGACAAAATGCAACGTCCAATTTTGTATAAGATTTCGATTATGCGACTTTCCAATCTCAACCATATTTGAACAATTTAGACTTGTTGCAATCCGGATCTTGCCGTGTGTCATGCTTATGCTTTGCTTCTTATCCAATATCCATCTCATCGGAAAATGTTATTGGGAAAAAGAATATTTAAATAAATAAATATTTTTTGGAAATTTGTCTAATTTTACTGAAGAATTTGGTGTCATTAATTATGATATAAAAGTTATAAATGTGCTTAAGTATATAAAAAGTGCATTAAAATTAAGTAAAAGCAAGTATTGGCCATGTGGTCTCAGCATAGAATAGGCCACCCCTTAGTGTTGTAAGAGACGACTAAGGGAAGGCGAGGGATGGGCAGCAGCGTCCCTCTTAAAACATCTCTAAAGTTTAACTACGGTTGCCAATTCGCCTGCTGACCGTGGCAACTACTGGCAAAACCCCCCATGCTCATCACAAGCCGCCTCGGCTTGTGTTCAGCAGTGGAGATTTAAAGGCGGATATGATGATGATGATGATTGGGCATAAAAAATATTTGTTTTAGTCCCAATAGTTTAAAATATGCCGCCATTTACAATTTTTCCTCCAAAAAGCATCTATTACAATTATTTTGTTTAGATAGTGAAATTTCAGAATATAAATTAAAAAAGTGAGATTTATATTTAGTTTCTGTTATGAGCTGTGAAGCTCACCTACATATTACCTGAACATTCATTTTAAAAATTCCTTGTAAAATTTCGCTTCTATAAAAGAATGTTGGCAAAAACTTGCTAATTTAAAACAGAGCTCAAATTATAATTTTGCGGCTCGTATCCGACGCCCGAATACTTGTTATCAACCGCAAGATAAAACTAGACTTATTATTTATTCACGGGAACTAATGACTTAAATAGTTTCAATTCCCGTGCGTTTCAAACCTTCCTACAAAATTAATTCTGTAGTGAAACCTTTAAGTTTTTAGTTCTTAAAAAAAAAGTAGTGTCAGTGACATGTTTGAAGAGGAATATTGATTGAAAGATAATGCATTAAGAGAAATTAAAGGAAGGTATTTTTGGTTTAATTATTATTAACGGATGGATGAAAGAATAATTGTTAAAACGTTATATCGGGCGAGTATAGAATAGGACGAGATTTTATGTACCAAATAGAAGACTGTTTGCCACCACTTAAATATCCATTAAAAAAGGATTTATTGAAAATCCTACGGGAAGAAAATATAACGGTGAACTGCTAATCTATGCATATTTAATATATAAAAGTTCCGTGTTCGATATTATTATATATGATGTTAGCTCTCTGCTCACCACTTCGTACGTGTGGATTTTAAAAGTAGGGTAACCAATAAAATAGACTATTTTTAGATGGCGTATGTTAAAACATGTATTAGATTTTAACTCAGACCTTAATCTCCGAAATCGCTTAATCGATATTTTTCAACTTACTTCAAAAAGGAGGTTATCATTTCAGTTGTATTGTTTTTTTTTTCTTTTTTTACCATATAACTCTGTCAATGGTAAACCGAAAATTTGGAAAATTATTTTATATTATATCTGAAAGGATATATTTACAGTTTGGATCCATAGAAATTTTATAAAATCAGTTCAGTAGTTTGATTTTTAAATCAAAATAACTCGTTTTGTCACAATTGAAGTCCGTTTTGTTTTTTTTTGTGGAACACAGTTTTAATTTTTTCCCAATAAGTAAAGACGGATCTGGCTGGGGGTGACAGTATGGGACAAAACAAAGTTTGCCGTGTCAGCTAGTCTAAACTAATATTATAAAGAGGAAATCATTGACTTTTTATTTGTGATGGATAAACTCAAAAAAAAAAATACTTAACCGATTTTGAAAGGTCTTTCATCTTCATAAAGATACATTATCAGTAAAGTAACACGGGCTGTATTTTTTTTTAAATGTGCTAAGGTACAGCGGTTCATTGACTAATTGCCATTCAACTGAGCTGACTAATTGATTCAGTCGTATAATTGAATTATCACAGCCTAAACGCATAACTTAAAATTTCAATGTAAAATAGATAACGATATACTCGCGGCGAAGCCGGAGTACATATATTATATTTCGATGTAATGAAACGGTACAAAACACTCACTGGCTCAACTCAGACCTTTGCCAACTGATCTAAGTTTTTGTCTACTATCCAACGCTAATTGAGCCCGGGTCAATTACATACACATGTTACACGTTAGCGTTGTTTCTGTTTGGCCGCTCGCTAATATCCGATAATTTAGATTATAGAAAGACGAGAGATAAACAATTTATCAATTTTTTTATAATACATATCTAAGAAACTATCTAACCAGAAATCTGATTTAAAAAATATCTAAGATGGTCCGTTACGGTAAAAAATAAGATCATATTGGTGGGTTGGGAATAATGAAATCAACATCTAAAAGAACAAACTTAAACACGTATTTGTTTTAAAATTGTATATCTATAAATATTTTAAGTTCGTTTAAAAAAAAGAATATATCTCAAAGAACGGTCCCATTTAAATCTATTATTTTATACCTATCTATGAATTACAACTCATAGGATATCCAATGTACAGACTAATAAAGATCAAACATAAATAATATCAATATTAATGCCAGGAAATAGATAAATAACTTACTGTGGAATAGTACAAAGATATCTACCATATATCTACGTGGCACTTTGATCTTCTTCATACTTGAAACATATTTATCGTTGTCTAGTTGATAGCAGAAATAATCCGCCTGGATTCTGTATTCGCAGTTTTCTTTATTTATCACTAAAACACTCATAGTGTACTATTATTGTGTATAATTAGATATACTTAAAAAATATCGATGAACCTATGTTTGGGGGGCTACTCAAAATTACAAAACCAAATATTCGTGTCCGAACGATACGAGATCGAACTTAGCATTACTTTGCGTAACTCTAATTATCAGTCCAATTAAATTTATTTGGCGTTGGGATTACGATACATTAAATTTTAAATACAATTCCGTAGGACCAAATGGAAAGTCTGTATCCGAATCCGAATCTAATCATGTTTATATTATAGAAAATGCCTAAACTTTCGACTGAGACTTCAGATTTGAATGAATGAATGGGAGCTCTTTATTGTTCTCCTCAAAGATAGATACAAATTATAATGATTAACAATATTTCATAGTACCTTTGATACATTCCTCAGCCTGTGTGGATAAGGGACAATCGACGACGTATTTTTTTGGCCGTCAAAGAGATAATGTAAATGAGAAATCGAATTCATATGCACGTTTCTAAGAATTCATGATAATGCATAAAGTAATATTTCAATATTGCAGTGTGATACTGATGGTTGATTATATTGTAACATACCTTAAGTATATTTTAAATTTACAATCTGGATTAAACGCTACATGATTACAGGTAAATAGTGCCTATTCGCGTCGCGTATTGCCGATGACGCAGAAGGGGTTACCATTTCATGTTCAACCATTAAAAAAAAATCGCGTCTCGCATTATTCCTAATCATGAATATAAAATATATGTAAACAACGCGAAAGTTTAAAATTAACTATAATTTAGTTTTATAAGAGAGGAATTCAAAACGTAATTTCAGTTTGTACCTACAATATAATATACTATTAGTTTATTAAATATGGTATCGCTTTTACCCAGGAGCTGAAGTTCCACCGTGCTACACTGGGGAATCCTGGCACGGGGTCACACTTGAAGAGTTCACGTCGTGTCCTTGGAACCTGGCGAATAACAGGCAGACTCGGATGCTGGCTGATCTAGCACTAGTGGGTTGCTACAATGGTACCCTCAGGCATCGGACGCCAGACATCGACAGAGTATTGCTAGCTTCCGCCAAGAGGAACCTGGCTGCGATGGCTTATTTTGGACTTACGGAGTATCAGAAGGTAGGTAATATTTAAATTCCATTATTCCATTAAATTTAAATTATATCGCGGGCTTCAAACAATTGGGGCAAAGCCTTTTAAGAGAGATTTTTTTACTTTGTACAAAGTGCACCTTATGCAATAGGCCAGAATATAAAAGTACTTTATGATATAGAATGTATAATTATTAAATAGTATTATAAACTAGTAATCGTGTATTTATATTGAAAATATTTTTACAAGTCCTTACTTTTCTATTGTTTAAAGCCCACGATATATTAATTACCTATTCCCTATCTATTCTATCTATATTAAGTATATCTATTCTATCGAATTTGAAAGAACCTATATTCAGCAATAGCCTATAGATAGGACAAATAATGATAGTTTTGTTAACTACCAGTCCTAGGTTATTGTTGCAGTTAAATAGAACTAATTATGATTAACGTTACATACTTTTACATAAACTGTGACAATAAAAGACAGACGTCTAGACAAACAGACAAGACAAATATATGTATATAGAAGTTTAGTATTTACCATTAAATTATTGTACCATAGAAAACAATAGCTGTTCTCTTAATTGTTTAACTCCTTGCAGATAAAGTAAAAGTAATTTAGGTCAGTAATAGATACGATCGTAAATTCCTTACCTACCTCGATCTGATACGAAGATAAACGGTATTAAGAGTTGTTATTCAAGATAGCTGTGCTCCGCGTGGCGCCATCGGGTTTTACTTGTTTGTTGCGATCCATTCTACTCCGGTATGGATCAGAGTCGATTAGAAGAAAAGCTTTTACGTTTATTGCCGAATTTACAACGCGAAGTACGAATATTCGTACTTGGAGTTTCAAGAAAGTCTGAAACAAAATTCTATCAATTCCAACGTCCAATCGTTAATTCCTAACCTTACAGAAATAAAATAGTTTGTATTTTTTTTGTTCCATAACTTAAAACTAGAAATAGGATCATTAACTAAGATAGAGACGTGATCCTACGTCTCTATCTTAGTCATTTATGTTGAGAAAAGATCCTTTATATTATGTTTATCTCAGATAAATTTCATATTTGTGTGAAACTTATTCTAAGATTGATATTTTTGGACCATAGAATATTTTTTTTAAATATTTAAATAAAAATAAGAAACAAAAGTAGATCAATGTTTTGGTCATTGGCGCAAATATCGCGAAACATACTCGTACACACATAAATATAGGTAAATTGAGAACTTACTCCTTTTTGTTACCGCTTAAAAAGAAAATTTTAAAGAGAATTACAAAAAAGTTCTACATTTTTCTCTTCTCATTCATCAAAAATTCTCTCTTAAACCACAAAATAAATCTAAGCATATGACAGAGAACAGACTTCGTTTACTCCAGTAAACATTGGCGTGACTTCGAGGTGAATTCTCCATTCCATATCTATATATTTTAGAGATATGAATTTGTGTATGTACATAAATATTTGAAACATGAATCAACATGGAAAAATATGCCTTTTTTAGTATGCAAGCAACATAAATAAGTTCTTTTCGCCGTGATATGTCGTTAATAGGAATTGGCCCAAGGCTTTTCGGATTTTAAACGCGTGAAAGTAATTGCTCGAACGTTTATTTGCTCGAAAACGTGAACTTTCCGAGTCCAAAGAACATTTATTTTCCAAGCCATTAGTTACAATATTTGTGGCCATTCTACTCACTATTTGTAACAAAGATAAGATAAAGAAAATTGATTGATGTCATTAGCAAAAAAAAATGTTTAAAAAATATTCATCCTGGTACAAGTAGGCACGGCGAAAAGAACTTATTTATGTTGCTTGCATACTAAAAAAGGCATATTTTTCCATGTTGATTCATGTTTCAAATATTTATGTACATACACAAATTCATATCTCTAAAATATATAGATATGGAATGGAGAATTCACCTCGAAGTCACGCCAATGTTTTCTAAGCATATGAAGTCTGTGACTTCATATGCTTAGAATTATTTTGTGGTTTAAGAGAGAATTTTTGATGAATGAGAAGAGAAAATTGTAGAACTTTTTTGTATTTCTCTTTAAAATTTTGTTTTTTAGCGGTAACAAAAAAGAGTAAGTTCTCAATTGACCTATATTTATGTGCGTACGAGTATGTTTCGCGATATTTGCGCCAATACTAAAACATTGTATTTTACGCAGCAAAATCTTAAATTATGCAAACCACATTTCTGCAAAACTATCATTCAATTTCACGTGAGTTTGAAGCATAAAAACATAAAACATAAAAAAATGTTTGAGGCAGTCAAACATTTTTTTATGTTTTTTGTTGTTTCTCGTTAATGAAATTATGTAAATAGAATATCATATTTTACTATGAATAAGCACTCCATGACAGGAGGAGAAATAATATTATTAGAGAGAATTGTGGTTTATAGGATAGATAATGTAATCCGGACATGTTGAGAGTATAAGGAAACCCCTATAGATCCTCTATAAGCATTATACTTAATCCTTGTTATGACAAATTTAAGCCGAGATTTTAACGATCCAGAACACCTTGTTAAATTTACACCAAACAAATTGGTGGTGGGAGGGAGAGAGGGGAGGGTTTCCAAATTGGAGACGTCCCTATCTCATTCTACTACCCATCAATAAATTCATATGCCATTTTGCCATTTGTCTAAAAGGTTGTGCCTATAGTGAAAAGTTTATAGATGTAAACTATACAGAGAAGCAGAAAAAGGCATGCTATGGATTATCCGTTGGTAGAGATCCGAAGGTTAAGATTTGCATGATGATCATATAGTCAGTCGACAAAATTTCCCCGTTGTCTAAGCCGAGTACTCATACAACACGTGTACATTGTAGCATGCAATTTTAGGGTTGTATTATGAGTGGACTAAAATGTTCACCAAGACTTATGACTCCTCGGATTTCGGTAACCGAGGCAAATTATAAAAGAAGGCCATAAAAGTTACTTTGTAACCCAAAGGGTAAACAACTAATCGAAACCAAATGTAAATGTAACTTATGTTTAACAGTATATGTATAGGAATGAATATTTACTTAAGTATATTACTCAATAACTAAAGGCGTTGGATAGGACCTAAATATTTTAGACCGTAGGCGACAGGTGTAGGAGTCATCGTAGGAGCGTCGTCCCTGAAATCCGACATGAAAGGTGGCATTAGCAAAGATATTTACAGTCGCCACTGAATGTTGACCACCCACTCTGTAAGCCCTTTAATTCCGGTAATACGTGCCTTATCTGCAGCGTGAATTCCATCCTTATTGTCTCTAGATTCTGCCTTTTAAATTAAATATAGATTATACTAAAATATCTCAGAACTTGAACTTAATATATGTAGCGGAAAAGATTAACCGTCTTTAAAACACAGTATCAATATTTCTAATATATTTAATTTAAATTATAATGTATTTTGATGGATGATCAGTGATCATAAATCGGACTTCATTCGTAATTTGTTATAAAGCTGAAATAGAATACAATATTTTACCTTGCAGTCAATAGGAAGCCTCAAGACATCGTTTCCGTATGACACCGCTGAAAACATAGTGGTTTATTCAAAGGAAAGAGCCTCATGCTCGTTAGCGCTGTTTTACGCGGGGTATTTTCGCAAAAATAAGTCGAAAATACAGCAACGGAAGCATTACCCTTCCGTTTGTATATTTTCAACGAACTGTTTTCTTACAGCTTATGCAAACGAGTTCGTTTACGGAAATTAATCCTTTTATTTTGTACTAGAAGCAAATTCCGCGGCTTTACCCGTGCAGAAACCAATCTCTTCCGTTCCAGTAAGAATTCAATTTTCAAAAAGCTTTCCTAGTAGATGCCTTGATCACATATGGATGCTGCGTACAAAAGAAAAGCAAAAGAATAGATAATAGTTTTGTTCGCGACATTATTTGTATATATGTAATCGTAATTTATAGTTGTTAAGTCCCTAGTTTAATCGTTTTTGTATACTGTTATTTTTATATAGATTTTACATAGATTTAAGATACCTATAGTGTAAGTTAAATAAAGTATTCCTTTGCGTGTTGTCATTATTACCTACGAATAGAAATAGAAATTGTAACAATAAATAGAACTAAGAAATTGTAAATTGTAATAAATAAATAGACGCTAGAGAGTTCCGATCTGAAGAGACACGCGTCTCGTTCGCACAGATTCGCTAACGCGAGTTGGAAATGTTATCGTGCGAGCGGGCGGGTATAAAGATTCCCGTCGAGCGGCATTCGCTTCCGGGCAGCGACGCACTACACTCGAGAAGAAATAGGACAAGAAGAAAAATACTCTCTTCAGACGGTACCGGAGGCTTCAAAATAGTAATCGCTGTGTTTCACTCCAGCCTGAACCAACGCCCCTACAGTCCACGCTCACCGAACGGCAGTCCACACCGTACAAGTTTAGATTCTGAAGCTTTAGTTTAGATGGTATTTATTGAGGGTCTTTGGAAATTCCAATGGGAATAGAAAGTTCCATAATGCACACGAAGAAGGGGAGTTTCAGTTGTAGTCATTGATTATGGTAAACATTAAAAATGTTTTCTGTGCCATCTTAATTTTTTAATAAAATCGATATCACAATTTCTAACGTAAAAGAAACTAAAAAATAACAACTTTTTTCCTTATTTCTTTTTATCTTATTTTCCACTTTTAGTGTGTAATATATTGCCTGGCTTGAAGTAGAATAATAATTAAAATGCTTGTATACGCATCACCATAAAATCAACAAGTGTCGTTTAAAATCCAAGTTTTTAGTACATAATATTGTCTATTCGTGCTATCTTCAGTGACCCTCGCAGTAATAAGGGAGCACGTTGCTTACCCTCGAATCATTGTTCGCATATCTGCACTGTAATGTAACACCATTTGTTGGCCCACACTCCGCCTTGCCACCTCTCAGTACCCACTCTTCATATTCTGTGAATATTCATTGCCCATTTCCTATAACCGCACCGACTCTTTTAATGGTTTATTTGTATGATCTTGTTAATCTCGAATTTATTACGCTTTTATACAGTTGCCGTAAACTGCGCTGCGCACATAAACTAGATTTACGCTCCAATGTTTCAGGGAGCGGAGGAGTTTTTCGATTTCGTTTTTATTACGGTCGGTTTTAAGGCAACGTATTCCAATGGGAAATTTAAATTTGCAGATAATTAAAATATACTCTGTGAACAAATTTCAATTAGCTAACGCGATAACACATTCAAATATTAGCAATGCCACTTGATTGTATCATTTACTAATTCAACAATTGTACATTTCGGCATTTGAGTCAATATCGCATCCATATTTATATATAGACATGATGTCACTTCAAATATATAAAGAACTCTTTTCTACGAGTCGTCTAACGGACACGTCTAGATAGAGCAATGCGTCCCTAATTGCCATGTAATCGCTCGGGGCATTTTAAAACCATTGAACCATTATTTATCCTCTAATCAGTGTTTTCTATTAAATATCTATTGATAAATTTTTATTATTACAACTCAGAACGGAAAACAAGCTGACGGCCACCTGTTTGGTAGTGGTAACCGCTAACTATAGACATTGGGGGGAAAGGGATTGTTAGTGCAATTACAAAGTATGGAGGCATAACACCATAGTCCCAAGGGGAGAAAGGGATTGTTAGTAATGGAGACTAAAAATCCCATTGCTAGCAATATACCCAACCAGGTCGACCTCCTCGTGGTTCCCCCTGGAAACTATCATAATTAATTCCTGATGAATTCATCATGATGGACTAACTGGCCTGTTTTCATTCTCATCTATCACCTTTCACTGGTGCTCCGCCAGCGTATCCGTTACCGCAGGCGGGGTTACCATTCCATTTTCATCCACCAAAAAAAAAACTATAGTCATCATCATCATCATCATCATGTCAGCCTTTAACTGTGCTGAACATAAGCCTCCCCTTTACTACTACTAGCACTATTTAATCGAAATAAAAATAGAATGTTTTTATTTACCAATATACAATATTCACAGATATCCCAGTACGTGTTCGAGGAGACATTCAACCTGCGTTTCGCGGTGCCGTTCACGCAGCACAACGCGACTGTGTCGGGCGCGACCCTCGCCTCGCTGTCGCCCGCGCAGGTCGCGCACATCAAGAAACTCAACTCGCTCGACCTCGAGTTGTACGAGTTCGCCAAGAATCTTATGTTCAAAAGGTATATTTTTAATACAATTCTAGAACATTCGATACAATTTTGTTGTCACACTTAGGAAGGCAAACAAACTGACAACTCACCCGATGGAAAGTGGTAATCGTCGCCTACAAAAATGGACGTCTCAGAATACATAGTGATATCCATGGTACCCCTGAGTAGTTTCCATTTCTAAAGACTACACCCGTATGTCGCGTACCCTATAATTTCACTGTCATATCTCATCTTTTAACACAGTCATACAAACAAGCCCAACTCCTTCACGACAGAAACACCAATGTAGAGGTTACTACTAATACAAAAGGGTAAAATAGAGATAAATTCATATCTCACCAAAGCTCAAAAATAGTGACTACAATCAAAAAAGTGTCTTACCATCGTATTTTTGATAAAAATTCAGAATGATTTCAGGATTATTGGAAAGTCGTAATGAACTACAGACGACAAATATAATAATGAGTAGCTTGCAAAAAACTTTTCATCTTGATTCATTAGAACGCGTCGATTAATCCCAATTCCCATCTCTAATCAACGACAAATGACCAATGAATACGTCTCATTATTGTTAGGCGCGAATACAGCGTCCTCTGATATTTTTTTATGTGTGATCTTCAGCAACTGAGAACCGAATTTGATATATACGAAATAAATCTGCATAACTAAGTACATTATTGTGTTATTTAAATAAAAGAAAAACACGATTACCCTGTTAAAAAACGATCTATTTGAAATGTATGTAAATGTATATATAGCTAGTTTCACAAGAAACGATGAAAGGATTCTGATAATACCCCATACATTCAAATCTGTTCAGGCATTTAGAGGTTATGATGGAATAACAAAACTCACATACAAATAAACTCTTAAAATATTACACTCCCTTTTTAGCCAGTCATGTAAAAATGGTTTGGTAAGTTGAACTTAAAAGTAACTGTAACTATTCTGTATTGGTGTTACATGATTTATGATTTCAAAGAGGCAAGAATTAACTCGATTATTTAGGTAAAATATAACCATTTATCTTGACGTTTCATTTGATGAAGCATCCCGCTCTCGCTATTTGATACGGGATGTCTATGATGATGGGTGCATTAACTTGTCATTAGAGGACTGTTAGGGTATTAGGGGAGAATAAAGCGAAGAAGATAGACGGCCAATGACTGCTATTTACGTTAGTAATTGGTCGACTCTTCTACTTAGCATTTGTCTATCAACTGAATCTAATTTTATTAAGATTAAAATTTTAAACTTGCTTACATACTGTAAACAAATAATACAAAAGCAACGTATACTTATATTATTAAGTAGATTTAATCAAATCGGTCAAGGTTAATAATAAATAAGTTCGAATACTTAATACTCGTGAATGTAGTAAAGAAAAAAATTATACAAATGTATAAAGTAATAGCATTTTTAATAGGGAAATAATTTTTCACCTTGTCGCTCAAAATTATATAATATTTAAAATCGCAAAGAGATTAAATTCTATTGATAGACGAAGATTACCGAATTGTCTGGGTAATAATAAGTATTTTCAGTGTTGTAGAATATATAAATAATGTATTAGAATATATTATATAATTATTAATATATATAAATATGAACAATGTTCCACGCTGAGCTTCGACCTTTTTGTATGAAAACAATATAAATATTATGTTGTTTTATTATTATCTATTCTTATGTACATGTTGTGTGTGATTAGTAACAAACAAATAAACGATATATCTATCTATCTATCTATCTAATCTATGAAAACAATATAAATATGGTATTTCTTTATTATCCAGTGCTAATCTAGTATTAATCTAGTACTAGTTCAGCAAGTACATAGCATATTTTTTTTGAACAAGCATGCGGCTCACCTGATTAAACTACATCTCATCCACAACAAGCTGTAGGTGTGCTGCCGGCTTTTTAAAAAGGAATATACTCTTTTCTTGAAGGTTGTGTTGTCGTATCGGTTCGGAAATATTGCTGCTGGAAGTTGATTCCAAACATATATTTAAAGGACGAGGTATGAACAGCAGCGTCCCTCTTAAAATATCTCTAAAAGCCTAACTACGGTTGCCAACCCGCCTGCCAAGCGTGGCAACTACTGGCAAACCTCCCCTTATGGGCTTATATCCATCAGTGGAAAATTAACGGCTAAAATAATAACATAAAAATAATACATATTTACCATTTTCCATAAATTCACGAGGTTTACATACATCCTCTTCTATCTGTCGAGGTCGTTGACAAATAAAATAGGTATAATTAAAAAGCTCTATAGTTATAAATTAACAGATATTCTGTGACTGTTTAAATAATGTCTTGCTTCTTAATTTAAAGGTATGTAAACTCCTTATCTGGTAATCATCCTCTGTGACCATCATGTATAACGAAGACAGCGTCCTCTTTACACCAGAGGGCGTTACCTTCACACGATTTGTAATAAATTGCTACCCCTCCCCAGCAAAAAGTGACGGAAACTCGTTTGAGGAATAATACGTATGGTTGTCTCCTGAGTTCAATGCTCCAAGGACATCAAATGTTTTAATGTTATATTTTGCCATATGCCTTGTTTAATTGCTATTATACTACTAACTGGATACCTACTAATAATATAATGAACAAAACATACATAGTTTGAAATAGACGTAATTAAGCACCTTACTATAATAGAATAGAAATTATCTTTGTTCAGATTAACTTATTTAGAAGCTCTTTTAAAATGTTATTTTTATGATTCTACACCTAGGTTCAAAATGATGTTATCTACAACAAGATATACACGGTACAGAAGTATAACACTTGAGTCCTCAAGAATGGCAACGCATGGGGGGTATCATGTCGAAAGAGTATACTTTGTTATGTCCATAGTACTGTTCATGTCTATAGGCGACGGTTACAACTTTCCATCAGGTGGGCCGTCAGCTTTTTTGCCATTCTAAGTTGCATAAAAGATATTTTTACATTTGTATGTAACTATAAGAAACTCAACAGAGGTCGTCTTTAAATGTTTTATTTTTATACAACTTAGAATGGCAAACAAGCTGACGGCCCACCTGATGGAAAGTGGTAACCGTCACCTATAGACATGAGCAGTACCATGGACATAACAGAGTATACTGTTTCGCTCAAGATACCCCCCATGCGTTGCCACTCCTGAGGACTCAGGTGTTATTCCTCTGTACCCAGTAAATTCACGCCATATCCCACCCTTCAAATCGAGACACAGCCATGCAAACACAACTGCTTCACGGTTGAAACATGAATGGGACAGAGGTACTCAAGCAATCGACTTTTGTACAAAGTCTCCCTCTGGTGAATAAGTATCTTTCAATTAACATAATCCTTGGCCATTTAAATGATAATTACAATCATCTGAACATACTGTACCTACATCTTATTCTAGTAATATCCATTCGTAATGATGTGGTGAGAACAACTTTATGTATGAAAATGTATCATGTATTTAATTTCATATAATTCCGTTAAGCGCCATTCACACAACTCCGGGTGAGAGTTTTGAACTTTGAACCTTGTCAGAGACGAGTAATTCGATAGCCGTGTTCATACATCAGAGAAGTCAGTATCAGTGTTGTTTAGTGTTGTGTCCACACCTCGCGGTATTCTTGTTTTAATACAGAAGAATTAGCATTTATTGCAAGAACAATAATAATTAATAATTTTTATTAGCAATTTCTGTTTTACATACGTAATCACAAATAATAGAATATGAATAGATAATAAATATGGCAAATCGTTGTTTTGGTGGCGTGCAACATTAGATAGTACTCATGATAAGGCATACACAAACTAAACACTGCACGCCACGAATCATTGACATTGAACTATGTCATCAAATATAAAATGTACTTAAGCAATTTATCTTCATCCCCGACGAGCACTAACGGGGAGCGAACTTGGAACTGTGTGAATAGTACTGTATCTTTAAATAATATAAAATAAAGTCGCTGTGCGTTTTTGTTTGTCCTGTTTAAGAAGTATATTCTAAACTATGCGACGGATTTTAATATAGATTTCAATATCATTTAGACACTTTTATTTTGAAAAGTTTAAATAAACTTTTGTATAAGTAGATGCTAACATTGTTATTAACTTATTGTTGTTACTGTATGTTTTAGTGCAAAAAAAATATATATATGTTTTGTAACGAAATCGCTTAAAAGATTTACTTCTTATTGCATTCGTGCGAAGCCAGGCCGAGTCTCTAGTACAGTTGAAGATTTTTAATATGTATTTAATTTGTTTTAGATTCGAAGCATTGAAGAAACGCGATACAGATTTCGATTTCCGATGGCGACATTTAGGCGAAGTGACACGGACCGGTGTCACAGAATTCGACTGGGACAGCAACCTGGAAGACGCGACCACCGAGAGGTATAGAGGCAAATAAATTACTTGCCCCCTACTTCACTAGAAAACCATAATTATCAATCTAAAGATAATAGACTAGTCATAAATTCATAATGTACGCATGATCACAAACCGCGGACGCCTATTTTGGGTGTAGCTTACGGGTAAGCCACGTTGGTTTGCTCGGAGTTAATGGTTGTATATAGATTATACCGGTGGTATAGTAAATATAAGGTTAAATTGACGACATTAGCGGCGTAGAAAATATTACGTAGCACCTGCTACTACTGCCGCCAGTCTTCTTTTGGCCAATTAACTTAGCGACTTTGATATTGTTGATCTGCTTTTTGGATTTTAAACTATTGATGATTTAAATATTTGCACAGTAAATTAAAAATGTGTTATTAACTGAGAATTTAAAATATGTTTACATAATTTTAATTCTAATATATTCTACAGCACGGCTACATTATTAGTTGCAAACGCCGCTAATGGCTTCAATTTCCCCTTGTATAGAATTGCAATGTTCGTTATCCGGTTGACTAGAACATAGGACTGTACAAATAGCTTTTAGTATTAATTCACAACTACAAAAGCGTGTTCTATTTTTTCATTTTCCCAGAAAATGATTAATATTCGATCACTAATTACTGTGTTCGCCACTTCGATAGTTATAATAAACAAGGTGTAGATATGTTATCTACAATTTGTGCTATAAATCCATCCCTTGTAAATTATACATATATAGTTACATATATTTTTAATTATAAACAATTGTTGAGAGAATGTTGACGTTTGATAGAAACAGGGTAGGTAACACTGTTAGGAATGGCCCAACGAAGCGTAAGCCTCTAGTAATACTTAATTATAATACTAGCCCAGTGGATCGCGCTACATAAAATTTTAGAACAATAATAATAGAGACACTTGCTCAAACATGTTTTTGAATTGATAAAGTAAGCACAGTTGCTTTATGTAAGTATTGTTAATGTAAACAGCAGCTTGGTTCACTGGTCGAACAATACTCTAAACTTAATAACAATGTTATTACCGTGTATATAGTTGTATTATAATTGCGTAGGCTTATGTAAGTTTGTAAAAACTCGTGGTATATAGACACCGAACATGGCAATCTTTAATGGCAAAAATTGAAATGTGTTATTACTTTAATTTTAGATTATTTTCTGTAGTGGCGCGACTACACCGTGAAAAGTAACCAAAGAACAAAATTAGAGTATGTACATACTCTCGTGAAATTGTATCCGATAGAGTCTTAGAGCAATTACAATAAGAAACGCTATTGGTAATATTTTATAATTAAATATTGCCATTTTTCATTACATTAAAATAATGCACTTATGAACTAACAAGAAAATTAATACATTTGTTAGTCTCTAGACCAACAAATTTACACACTAATGAATATAACTGCAAGCTATATCTAATAACAGACTACCCGCTCCAGCTTCGCAGTGTACTAATGAAGAAAATGAGACGGAATTTTACTATTGAAACTACTGTCTTCTGTCCTACTCGCCCACTTTTTATGTGGAGATTTATAACACAAATTTTTTTCAAACATTTACTTTCACACAAACTTTGTCCTAAACAAAAAAATAAATTAATCAAATAGGTGCAACCATTCTGAAGTGATAGGTTCACATATAATCTTTTTTTTTAATATTAAATACTTGAAAATAAGAATTAATTTCTAATGAAATATAAGATATTCTTGTGTCATGATATATAGTACGTAACAAATCCAGAACTGAACTGCTACTGAGTAGCATATTTGCTTGTGATACTATACAAATTATGGATATATGTAGTTAACTGTAATAAGTATCATCAAGTTCTCAGTGCTTTCTCTAAGAAGCAGTGGCTTTGGCTAAGCGTCTCTTATTGTAAATACTCTAAGAATTAAGCAAATTATGTTTAATGTATATATATAGTTCTAAGCAGTCGAAATGGTATTTAATCTTTACATTTAGCAAAGTACCTTGCTAGGTATAGTTTTAATTTTATTGATTCGTTGCGATTTGTTAAGTTTAAACATTTGATCCAGTTTCGGGACTAGTGTATGCGAATGTGTATTTTTTTTATTTATCGTCAGAATTTTTCTTAATAATCTATTCATAGATATTTTCAATAGGAAAGTTATTTCAATGGCAATATCTTGTCTAAAGTCTTACTCCCTTATTCATAAAAATATCAAACCCCTCATAAATCTACTTTAGCTATGGAACAGTTTTGTCTCTTTCTTTTGTGTTAAATTCCCAATTTCAAAGAAAGTGACAAAACAGTATAATAGTTAAAATAGGTATGTGGAATGTTTTAGTTTTTATAAATAAAAGGATTATACTATTCGTTACATTATTTTTATAATGTGAAATGTAATAAATACTTTTTAATTGTGAAATTTCATAAAGATAATTTAATATTTCCATTATTTGTTTACACACTTAAATACATTTATACCGATAATTTACAACGTTTGCATTATCTGTGATATAAAAAAGTATTGGGAGTTTAAAAAGATTAATATGAATTTTTTGAGGTAAATTTATGTGCCAGTTCGCATTTTGATTTTTTTTTTATATTGACAGATAGTGTAAAAGTTATACGAACCTACCATATAAGATACAACTTGCTCTAGTAATGTGTTTCCGTGGATAAAATTACAAAGTCCATGCATACACTTTGAGCATTCGCTACTAGATAATAATCAAACCTGACCTTATTTCGTTGAGTGAGTCATAAAAGAGTTTAACTTTTACGGCTACTAGTACAAAGGTAACAACAAACATTACGACCTGCCTGGCGCCTATATACAACAACGCCTACAATAGGATTATCGCGTGCTAGTGCTTAGTTCTCTGACTTATCAAATATACAAAATTTGATTCCAAAAACAACAGTCGAATTTTCTGCCTTTTTCAGCTGAAACTGGACGGTACGGCGAAAAATGGCGTAAGTGAAAAAAAAATTGTCTATATTAATAAATTATTTTATAACTTTCATATTTACAGTAGTAGTCAGAAGCAAAGTCTAAGAAACGGATAATTTCGACGGCTTAGCTGTAATTACAAAATTTTCAATATTAATTCTTCTACATTCTACTTATGTTACAATTATTTATTTATTACACCTGAAAACTTTATTCTGTCCATTTTTTATGTAATTAATACATAAATGTACCGCCATTTCAAAAAACATTTTTTTTACTATAGTAGAGTACCACGATTGATCACGATCTCACCTAATGAAAAGTGGTGATGTGATCTGAGATGAAAGAATTTTAAGAAATCATTTATAAATATATCAATATTCAAATTTGTTAATTCAGCGAAACTATTATATATAATGAACTTAAAATAGCTCAGACTCAATCCTATTATAAATTTAATTTATTCTTAGAACAACATCAAAAAGAAAATTTCGAGATAGAGATGATATTTCAAAACGTAGTCTATTGTGGATCTCGGATTGAATATTTACCACTGAAAATATATACATAACTAGTGTTCACTCCCAACTTTGTTTGTCTGAGTTATATTGATTCAGCGCGATAAAAAATAATGCATCCTAAATCCTTCATTGCATATACTACAATATATAAAATTTCATGACTATTGTTTGATCTGTAACAAACAAACGAACTTACTTTTATAATATAAATAAGGATATAGTTAGTAATGTAAACACGATCATTAATTTATATCCAGTTAGTTAATATAAAGGCAAACTGTCAGAGAAATGTGTCCAAGGAATAGCTCAAGGCTATTTACAGTTTACACAACGTCGGACGCGCCACCATTGTGCTAACGAGCCTGGTAGTGGCAGTGAATATATCAATCTGTTTTCGTATATACATCCTTACTAATATTATAAATGTGATAGCGATTTTGTTTGTTTATCATCTCAAGGTGTCGATTAACGATCATAAAATTTTATATATATATATATAGTATTTGGGATGAAAAACGACATAGATTTATATTTATTCTAATAACATATTCCAGTTAAATACGATACAAAAGCATTTTTAAATAATGCATTTTTTTATATTATTTATACGTAATCTGGGTGAAATGTTAATTATTTATTTAAATTTTAATGCACAGTGAAACTATGTACATATGTGCGGACTTAACACTAGACGGTGTTCTCTGTCTCTGTAGTATTATTGTTTTAATCTAATGACTTAATATTTCATTTATTTATATTTCCATATAAAATTAATGCAGCTTTCTTCATATATCTACCTACGAACATATTAGAAAAGAAATACAAAAGGAAAAATAAAAATATTGTCTATGGTAAATTTTTAGTTTAATTCGTACAATCGGTATCGTTTTTAGTGCGTAACTAAATAAATAAAAAGGGAACAGAAAATAAAAAAATAATAAATAAATAAAAGGTTCCGTAACATATTTAATGTCGCCTGCCTTTATCATTTATGAATACAATGTCATTGAAATGTCAATGTGAATGAACTGGGATTAATACGAAAACAATGTTGATTGTTATTGGATGTATTTATCTGAATATTATATAACTGTGACATCACAAATGACTGTAAATTTAAATAAAATTTATATAATACAAAAATGAAAAAAAGGGTAAAGAGGTTTCTTCAGGGTTAGCAACGCGCGCGTAATACTCCTGATAAAGCAAGTGTTCATAGGCTACGGTAACCGCTTACCATCAGGTGGGCCGTATGCTTGTTTGCCATCTCTATAATATAAAAAAAAATCAAGCGTGCGGTATTTTCTACTTTTTATTATATTATTGATAGTGCATCCCTTTTAAAAGAAATTATTTTTAAAAAGATTTTTTGTTCATTATTAAATCAATATTTGGAAGTATTCTAAATTTAACATTTACAGCATTAGTAATTACTGAAAAATACACTGAATCATAAAAACGTAGTCGCAGATTTCTTTTTGCAATTTCATTATTACGGAACCCTAAAAATGGGCACGCAACGGGAATTATAGCATTTATTTAAATATAAACGTTCTCATAGATAACATCGCAGCTACTAGTATAAGTACAAGGTAGAATGTGTATCAATATATAATTTTAGTTGAGGTATCTTCTCTCTGATGTATAATGATTATTATATATAGTATCGGTATTATTTTGTATTATCCTTATTTATATTATTGGAGAGTGTGTCTTCTAGTGACGGTTATATATTTTTCAATATCATTAGTGCCTGAGGACTAATTCGAACGAACCGGTCGATTACAATATCTATGATAAAACTACATTAAATATTTTTTGTATGGTTTCAAACATTGTCTTAATAAAATAACAACAGATCATTACTAATATTTTGTTTCTTCTAATCAAATAAAATTTAATAAGATGTAGTATAAAAATATTTATATTTTATTACACATGGCTGTGCTCAGTGAACATTTATATCAGTTTACGGGCACATTGTCGTGAACATAACGCCAATATATTTACAATGAAGGCATTTGCTTTCTTAAAAAAGAAAAGATCATTGTCCTACCGTGTTTATAAATAGTTTATTTGCTTGATACTTAACAACAAACATATTTATTCATAGACACAGTATAGTCTACGGTCTAAATAACTCAAAATAGCCGCTAGGCAAGCACTCCAACTCTTTTTTATTTGTTAAATAAGTCACTTCCTTTCTTAAGTAATTGTGAAAGATGATAATAAAAAGTATTAAAGCAAATTACAATGTTGATTTGCAATTTTGTATAAAAACTAAATGCATTTTAAGAATTTTATATTTAACTTTCTTCAAGCGCCAATTAATACTGTGTCCCATATGTCATCATATTTATATCTCGAGACGAATTGTCTAAAGATATCGCGCTATTTCCGGAGTCGTATATTGTAGCGAGACGCGTCGATGCTCTGACCTATGGCGGCATGCTTTATTGGATAATATTGCAATATGTCAATCTGTCACTGTATATCATATTAACATGAACACTGCGACTTAAAATAGGATCGATTTAAAAATGGGGTGAAATAAAAAAGATGACAAATTTATCAGAAAATTTGTTATTGTGAATGAAAGGGATCTTTAAATATACAATTGAATATATAAAGAAATTGTGTTGATCGAAAACAAGCAGGCAAATTACATACGAGTACAATGAACGCATTCTTATCATTATTAATTAATTTTATTTACTCTTATATATATAAATAGGTGTATAAATATTGCATAATATTTATGTTACGCTCATTCTTCGCATTTACATTATTATCTGTTTCTCCTTTTTTATTAATAAACAATTTGTGTCTGATACGTATATCAGACAATTGTTATTTGTTACTATGTATATAGATATAGTTTCTAATATCTTTTTATATTAAAACATGATATTTTTGATACACCGCAATTGATCTCACCTTTAGAAATGAAATACGCTTATGACAAGCATACATTTACTTCGTATACGTAATATTAGAAACATTATATTTGAATCGAGGACGTTCAATGTTCAATAAGCTTCCTTTATAATTGTGAGGCGTCTTCCTGAATAGGTTCCCTCAATTGCTATTTTATTGATTTATTTACAGATTGTAAACAACCATGGTGGTATAATGGTTATTCACACACCGCCTCATCTTCCGATGGTCGCGGGGTTCGATCCACGCACGTATCAAACATTTGTTTTAAAGAATATGTTTGTTTTTATTTATCTGAATGATATTGGTTTGGGACTATATGTCGCTGTGAACTATGCCCAGTGGTTTTTATTTATTTAATCCTGATATACATTGAAATGCCAGTCTACCAACTATAAATTAGGTACACACGTGTTGAATCTCTTGCGGTATCTCAATAATATTGCTAAAAAATAGAACCATACTGCAAAATTTCAATTATAAAGCTGAATATAAAAAAAATAGATAATTGTTATTTGCTCTTAGTTAAAAAAAAATCTTGTCTTTTGCAATGTGAAACAATTTCCCGAACGGAGCACTTACAGTAATGAAATGTAATGAACAGCTAGTCTCGATGGGCACTACACATTAAATAAATGTTGTACGAACGTGTTCGAGTGAAATCGGCGTAGTGCCTACACTTGACAATAAATTAGTTTCCATATACTAGCAGAAAACATTTATATTCTTACAAAAGTTAACGCTAATATTATCACAGTAAAATTGTCTTTATATATATACATATAGATAACACAATCGGTCTATTGTCCACGCCATGGAGGACACAACAGCACGTCCGGTGGCCCGGGACAATTTGTGTTACGTAGACTATGTTTCCTACGTGTATAGAAATAAAAATATACTTCCTGTCACCAATTATGACTATAATAAGGTCACCTTCTTATTTTATATTAGTTTTTGTCAGCAATTTTGTACGCGTGCATTTTGACTGGAGAAGAATGAAGCAATGTACGTCACGTTCAAATTGTATATTTGAACTGACTGAGAAGAAGGGAAATATATATAAAAAAGAAAAGAACAATATAAAAATACAAGCAGAGTTGCCAGTGACATTAGGTAGACACTCCTAGATGGCGTATCGTGATAAAATATACCCCAAATTTTAAGTTAAGGTTTCAGAAATACAACTGAAAACTATGTTCAAATTGGTGCTGTAGTTTTGCGTCATTCTGGAACAGTCTGTCGTCTGACTATTGCTCTTATCAACACCCCTCATATAGTTTTTTTTCTTAAATATCTTTTATGTAAAATTATCGTTTAGTTACCATTATATTATATTCAATACTTATATATAATACGTAGCTATTGAGAATCTATATTTCGCTCGTTCTAAAATAATAACTTTTATAGAAATAGAAAAGTTACCGCTCACCTAGACGCTCAGCTTAATATCAGAAAACCTAGTCGTATTGGATTAAATGTTTTCTAAAGAAAAAGAGCCTTATGACGATATTAATAGAGTACTATATCCATGAACAATACATTGCCGTATTCAAGTAAATTACGTCATAGATATCAAAACTTGTAAATTAAATTAAAATTTCATTTTTCTTGTTGCCATCGTACATATTTATTGATACTAGGTTCGTATCGGAAAAAGTGATGTATCCTTTCTTGGACTGGGTCTTAATATATTAGATTTTAGTTACCAATACTGGTATTATACTTTTGAATTTTTTTTTTAATCAAAATATATATTATACTCAATAACATAACTGCTTTAAGTATAAAAATCTCAAAGATGTACGTAATATTAATGTTGTTTTACATTGGTTGTACCTAATTATTTGAAGTTATTTGATGTACATGCGTGCGCAGTCAACTTCAATAGCTTCAATACACATTCACAAACAGATATTAAAATGTTCCACAACTTTTGTTATTCACAATATTCTCTTAGAGCCACGAAATTGGTTAACAAAATGTCGCCTCAAATTAAATTGAACAAATTCTTGTGTACAAGCTAATTAAAACCATGTGAACTTTATCAATATATTTCAGAGGTTGACTGTACAGTTACTTTTGATGGTATTCAGCATGTTTTTACTTGTTTATCATAATAATTTTAATTAGATTTAAGTGATAATATCGACGATATGTATGTGTATATTTTTCTGTGCGTAAGGTAATGCTAAGCCCTGTGATATAATAAATATTGCACCCAAGATTCAGTTCCGACGATAATAACAAAAATATCACTAAATATTTCTCGCTTAAGCTGTAAATATATGATAGCAAAAGTGAATCTAAATCTAATGACGGGTGCATAAGCCATAAAATAAGTTAGCCATAGCCGCGCCAAGTTCTGTGGTGGCATGATAATAAACTAGAACGTCTAGATGTATGTACTGAGTTAATATCATGTATTTATTGTATGTATTGTACCTATAGGATACCACACTGGTGCAGTTCGCGGTGTCTAGTACCAAAATTTAGTGTTTAGTTCTTTAAGTTCCCGACTGAACCAAAACATAGTACGTTATATTGTGTTACTATCACTGAGTAATAAAACAAGCGAAACTAAATGCTCTCTTTTATTTATACCCACCTTCATATTTTGTCAACCCATACTCCTACAGAATTTTAAGTACGCAGAGGAAATATGTGGAAAACACGCCGGAAATACCTAACGGCCAATTAAAGCTGTTCACGCACAGAAACCAATATCGGTCATAAGGCGGCTTAATTTTACCTAATATGGACTTCATAGGTATGTACGTAGTCGGTTCAGCAAAGCGATGGTGGCAGTAGTGCGGGCGTGCAGGAAACTGAAATGGTCGAATTTGCATTTATGTCATTAGGGAGCATCCGCTAAACCGGCGCGGAGCGGTCACCATACTGTATAGGGTTGCCAAAAATCTCATGAGTAATATAAGATCCTTTAGACTGGTAAAAATCAGCAGATATAAAAATATTATATCTTTATTAAGGTGTTTAAATGAGGACAACATCAAAATATTGTGCTAATTTAAATTTCGAACTAGCTCTCCGGATGATGATGGAAAGAACAACAGATATAAAAATACTATATCTTATTTAAGGAGTTTGAATCAGGCCAACACCAAAAATTTGTGTCAATTTAAATTTTGAACTCTCCGCATGATGATGGAAAACACCAATAATATAAAAATTAATCTATGTGATAACAACTTCATGGAAGTTTCTGAACACCGACTTCGTATTCACCCAATTGGTACTTACAAACGGGAATTTGTTTAGTATTGCTAGTATTGTTATTTAGTAATACTAGAGATAAGGTCGCCTTTTGTATCGCTTCTCATAATTATTTACTGTATTTATTATTTTTTTTTAATTGGTGCAATAAAGTGTAAAATAAATAAGTATATAACATAATATAATACTTGACAACCCTATCACCGCATGCCGGTCAAGGGGGAGAATCATTGGAATTGAGCACTCGCTGACGTGCGTTGCACCCGTGCGTTATATAATCACGTAATACTAACTGACATGTTGGCAACTAACTTCCAATTTATTATTTCTAACTGTTTACATGCGACACCATCTTTGTCATAAAGCAAGTTGAACCTAAAATTATTAATGTGTTTTCGTAGCATATGTTGCAAGACACTTAGCGGTTTCATTATTAAAGTCTAAAATCTCAGACATTATGCTTTATTTAAGAGAGTTCATTACCTAATCCTGGCAACATTAGCATTATCTATCAATTTTTTAAAACAAAATGTCAATAATTTCTACTAATTATTAAAGATGCTTTCTGGTATCCAAAAATAAAACGAATTGCACTATGGTAAATCTATCACAAAAATTTGGTAACTCCTTGCATCAATTTTTATTTTTCAAATGCTATTACATATTTATTTTATAAAAACAAACAATTGCATTTCAGTTCGCTGTAACTTTTTAAATAATTATTTATAATGATCGTCCTACCATATTGGATTTTAATATGTTTGGCAAAATGTTGGCATATTGAACGTAGATGGTCATATACAGCGCGGTTTCAAATGTTTCCTTCTACGAGCGTTCAAGTTATGAAATGAACTCCCTATCGAAGTTTTTCGAAGAGACTACAACATGAGGTTCTTTAAAAAAGAGATTTTTTTTACAACACAGGGGGCAAACGAGCATACGGCTCACCTAATGGTAAGTGACTACCGCCGCCCATGATCACCCACAACACCAGCGGCATTGCAGGTGTGCTGCCCGCCTTTTAAAAAGGAATATACTCTTTTCTTGAAGGTTATGTTGTTGTTGTTGAGTCTGCAACGCGCGCGTAATACCTCTGGTAGTGTAGGTGTTCATAGGCGATAACTGCTTACCATCAGGTAGGTCGTATGCTTGTTTGTCACCTATAATTATCCGATTATATAATCGAGAATTTTTTTTTTGCTTAAAAATACCTCTATCGATAGTACAGTATAAACATCTCCTTACTTGCCAAGTATATTGTTTTTATTAGTACGAATAGAGCTATTATCGTATACAGGTCAGTGCATCTGTACATAGCTCAATTGATTCATTATCAAGCTGGGAGATGGACCTTGCAAACAGGTATATGGACAATATTAGTTGCAATTGTAAACAGCACATTATATATTTTCTTTTTATATAGTAGTTACGAGCACAAAGGATTAATACGAGGTGTAATCAAAAAAATATGGTGGTTGAATTATGAAGAAACTAATAAGCTTATATCAAATTTATATTAGTCCCCTTCAAACTACTCTCCATGGCTAGCGATGCTCTTATCTCAACTTTGATCCTGTAATTGAAAACATTCCCGAATGAAGGCTTCCTGTCGAAGGGCTTTCATCTGTTCTGTCGAGACTCTATTAAATAGGATCGGGGATCGTGTCAAAACGCCTTTCATAAAGTACATTTTTTAATTTTGGGAAGAAGTACCAGCCACCTATTTGATCAAATCATTTTTGCCACTTTTGCATGTTTTCGCCTTTTTGCGATTGAAGTACGTCTTAACTGTTACTTGTTACTTAACCTATTCATTTCTAAATCACTCGTACCACTTGTAAACAATTTTCAGAGTCACCACTTTATCGCCATACACAGATTTTAACATTTCATGAGTATTTTCCGTACTTTTTTTGCAACCTAAAATAAAATTTAAAGTTAACGCGTTATTTAAAATGTATGAAATAAATATGACTAGCATAAATTTGGTACACACTATCTCAATGAATTAGTTTACTGAACATATTAGTAAAAACGAATGTATCGTCGGCGGTTCCTAGTATACAAATTTAACATTTACCGTATTTTTTAATCATACCCCGAACACGAACTCGAATTTAAACATTGGCATCCATTTCTAGAAATAATCTACCAGTGAACTTGAACATCTTTTCCAAAGTAACATGAGTCGCAAAACGACAAAAACGTTAAAATATTGGTCTGCAGACAACAACCATTGTTATATCGAAATGTAAGCAAACGGATGTTAAAAGGTATTACTTAAAATGTATATATACATTTATAGAGATTTATTTAAAATTCTACTCTATTCGCCTTCATCCGCGAGATAAAATCAAAGGTCGCATAACAAAAAGTTCGAATTTCTTAAGTACTGCTTTGTGAGTCTCGTATCACATTAAGATGCACCCGGGATCGCGCCAGACTCGAATTACTCGAACTTCGGGTATAGGCATTTCTGTTGAAAACACAGTAAGATATTAAAAACTGAAATTCGTAGAAGTTCAATTCAAAGATTTCTCAAGAAAAGAACGTGTTGGAAATGTGAATTTTATCGAACTGAATCGTGGTTAATGTCTCGTGGTGTGCGCTCGATAGACAAAAATTACTGAACCGGATTTTTATTGAATGTTAATTTGAATGTATGTTTACGGCTTACAATATTAAAACTTAATACTGAATTGTGCGGTGGTTGTGATATTGATAAGTGTTTTTATTTCCAACTGTACTTAATATTAAATTTTTTATGGTTCTACATTTCTGCTACCTTTGAAGTTACTCGAGACATTAAAACGGAATGCAATACGTTCATTTTGTAATATTAGTAAAAATAAAAAAAATATATCAACTTAGAGAGTGTCATTTAACTATAAGCGCGATATTTGTTGAGATTCTAGCAGTAAAATCTTCTGGCAATATCATAATCAACTTTAACAGGTCGCTATTCGAAATTAAAATTCCATAAAAAATATAACTGATGTGTTGCCATCAACTAAATTCGTTCACAATGGCACTCCATCACAAGTAAATTAAACTACGTCCCAAAAGTTTTGAACAAGCACTGAACATAATACGGATTTATCATAACGATCCATTGTTTAGAGTAAATTGTAGGAATCGCATTAAAGATAAAGGGGGTTTTATTTCTGTGCGAATGAGCGATGTTGTTTCCAGAGAGAGACACTTCACTGTTTGAAGTTTTACAAAAGAGGCGGAGGCGGGGAACGCCTAAAAAGCTTTCAAAACAACTTACGTTTAGGAGTCCGCCAAGTTCTTTGTCTTCCTATCCCATTTCATGTAATCGCCATTGTGTTTCTTATCGTACGCACCAGTTATCTTCCGGAGTTTACCAATTTATAGTTAATATGCGGGTCTTTAGCCGCAACAATATTAACTTGTCTTTGTTCCGGCTGGTTCGTAGCTATTTCGGTAACTCGGATCCGAAAACAGAAGTTACGTTATGCTTTCACCTTAGGCATTGTGTTACAAAGTTGCTATCAAACTAATTTTTAGTTATTTTGGAACTTTTTCATATTCTTGATGTAAAAAGGGTTAAAAATAAATCCTTAAGTTTAGAACCTGTAAGTGAGGAGATGAGACTGTCTGTGGAGGAAAAATTTTCCCGATATGTTAGCTTGAGGAGTTACTACAAATTCGTGTGCATTACTGTTAAAATCTGTATCTACAAAAACACGCAATATTACGACTAATTTCGTACTCACTTTCATGAACTTTAAAAAAAAAGTTTCCAATATGTTTTCATTCTTGGTGTTCCGCTCCTGCGTTTTTCTTATACCATTACAAACTCTTCTAATAAATAAAAATAATTATACATTTGTTATTCTGGGTTCCTCTACATATACCTTCAATTACAAATAATGTTATACTACTGGTTTTTTCTCTGTGCTGATCCTCTAAACACCATTAGTGGCATTAATTAGAGATGGGTCTATAACTACGTTTTATCCCGCTCAACAACATATCCCGGTCACGCAGACGTGAAATCGCCTATAAAAATTAGTTTATTACTTAGATTTCCCTTGTGTATAGTGCCTTTATTTACAAACCATCAGACAGCATGAAGGGCCATTAATTCTATGCAGTAACCGCTGAACTGCACACAAAGGACGATTGTTTAGAAGTGGAAAGGAAGGGCTATCGGACCCGTGAGTGCAGCAATAGGCTGTGAAACACGTATCTCGCAACCGGCAGCTGTCATTGACCTCCGACCATTCAAACCATGTCCAAACAATCATCACTGTAGATTTTCAATCGATTTTTAAAATGCGAACATTCTCAACTCGTTGATATTTCTTTAACGCTGAATCAATTT